CGACAACCGTCGCCGTGCATCAGTAGGAAAGCAAACACGATGGACCAGGTCACCAACGCGTGATCCTGCTCCACACAGACAACGACGCCTGAGCCCACCCAGCTTGCATTGTCCTGAAGCCGCCTTGCCAGGCCACGTCGAGAAGGGGGCGGCTCGTACACGTACACGACGGTCCCCTCCTTGATGGTCTCCAGGGTTGGTCGGGACCTGGACGACAGAGCCTTCCTCAAAGCTGTGTGCGCATCTAACCAATGAAACGCAGCGATGGCCCCGGCTCGAATTCTTTCCGCCCGAGCGAGTCATTGTGGGTGAGCTCATCGTTGTAGCGGAATATTACTCTCCCGCTCGACAGCTGATCCATCAGCGAGGCTGGCAGCATGGTATTGCGGCCTGTGACGGCTTGAAGAGGAGATACGCCGCCGCGGTTGAAGGTCCTGTTTTTAGCGGCAAATGCCGCCAAAGCCGCGCGCAGCATCTCCTCCAGGCCCTTCAAGTCCATCTCCTTGACCATGCGCATCATCATCAGCTTGGCGACAGACCCGTGCCTTTCAACTTGGCCCAAGCGCCATTTGGCCCCTTCCGGAACCACCTCATGCACCACGGCAAACATGTCGTTCAAGGTCTGGATGGCGCCTTGAAATTCTGGGCCGCCGTCTGTCAACAAAAGATCGGGCGGACCAAAAACAGCATACCACAAGTCCTGCAGCACCTCCTTCGCAAAGCCAGAGGCCGCCGTGTCCGTCAGGTCACCGATGCGGTAGTCCGTAAGGCCGTCAATGAAGTGCGTGACCACGAACTTCTTGTTGTCGGCGTCCCAGATATAGAAGGAGTCGCCAGAGATGCGCTCGTTGAACTGCTTTGGCTTTTGGTAGGCCACCTGCGGGGTCACCCCGGGCGGCCGCACCATCGCGCACACCTGGCACCGAAGCTTGCGTGACAGCTCCACCACGTTGTTCTGGGCCCCACTCAGAATGAACATCCTGGCCAGCCGATCATTGGAAAGATGACCCAAAGTGACACGCAGATGAGCCACCATCGCTCGAAGCCGGCGCGGTTGTTGGGCGGCTTCGCCATCGAAGGTCACATAGTCGTACCTTTCACCTGTGATAGCGTTCTGGTTCATGTGGTGCCGGAGCGACTCCTCAGGGAAGGAGGCATTCGTCACAGGAACTGCCTCCCAGCAAGGTCCGCCAGCCTCCGCCACCAAGGACCACGTAGCCAAGGTGTTGGGCACCACCCGACCCTTCCAACGAAGCCTCCGCAGCCTCCAGGATGCGGTCGCACAACTTTGTTGGCCAAGCCGCGGCCGCCTCTGAACGGCGAATGCTCTGTCCATTCACCTTGCAAGAGCCCTCAATGGCCTGGTGTTCCCCGGGGCCATGCGTGCAGTACGCTCCTTGAAGTAGCTTGGCCGCCATGGCCGAGCAGTTGACGTCCAGAGAGGTCAACTTCTGATACGGCTTGCCATTCTCCAGGTCGACCAAACCAAAGGCACATTGAGCCACCACCGCCCGGACCACGTCGCTCCGGGAAAGCATGTAGTTCAACTTCAACGCCTCGGATCTGGCCGGCTGCTCGAGGAGGACCAATAGTCCTCCGGCGCATTGCCGCGCCCAAATGTCCGCGGCCAGCTTCCAAAAAGGCAAGTGTAGTCGCCTTCGTTCATACAGCGCCTCCAAGTCCTGGCAAAGCTGCGTCCAAGAGCTCCACGGGCCGCACGGAGGAGCCAACGTCACCAGGTCCGGCTTGGCTCGGTCAATCAACTCGAGCAACTCCTTGCGCTTGGACTCCTTCTGCAAATCCCATCCACAGATCACGTCAATGGGGTCCATGGCCTTCCAGCGCGGGTTCGCCCCGGCCCTTGCCGTCAACCGCGCCTTGCCGGAGAACACCTCCAACAGCAGCCACTTGCCGTCATCATGGCCCGCCTTGTCGAAGACCTCCCAAGTTGAGCAGAACGGACGCCTGCCTTCAGCCATTGAACATCCGCGCGATTCAGGTGCCTCACCTTCACAGAATCCGCGTCATCTCGGGAGCTTGCAGCTTCTGCCTCATCGACCCGAAGTGGCCGAACAGGAAGGCCACCTCCTTGCCGAGCAACATGCTGAGCCAACGAGGGTTCCGCTTCCAACGCCGGTCGCCCTCCTTCTCCACGGCCTTCTTGATGCGCGCCATCCACACGAACTTCTTCCAGCACCAAGTTCTCATCCGGCTTGTCGTCGACGCAGCGATGTTGAGGCCCAGCTCGTAACTCCACAAGTTGCTGAGCGAGGGGTAGTCCGCCCTCTGCCCGGTCAAAGCCTTCACTTCCTGGGCCTTTGCCTTGCTGGCCCGTTGCTTCTTGCGCCTCTTGCTGATGAGCCAGAGACGTCGGGTGCTGTTGTCGAGGATGCCGCCGGGGTCTCCTTTGTCGAAGCCGCCTTGGTGTCCTGGGTCGAACGCGTAGTCCTCTCTCGAGGCTTGGCCGCATTCTTCCGGGTTCGGTGTGGCTTTTGGCCCCCATCCTGCTCCATGTCCGCCGAGTAGGTCATCGCGAAGGTCTCGTCGTCGGAGTCCACCTGAGGGCAATCGCGGGTGCGGTGGTCGTGGCTCTTGCAAATGCGGCATAGAGGAGGGTTCAGCGGCGCAGACATTGCGTTCCAGAGGACCGTCAGGGACGGGGCAAGGCATCTGAGCACTGAAAATCTGAGGGTCGATTGGGGCAATGTCTCCTCCTGGGGGAAGTCGATAGTCTCCAGGCAGCACAACGCAACCAGGATCACACTCATCAACTGACATGGTATAGTGACCGCTATCTCGTCCTACCCCATACATCTTCACCCCTAGTCGGCGTGCACTGACACAATGATGCTCACAGTCTATCACCGCCCCAATCTGAGTACAACCTGATCTGGAAAACAACGGTGGGCAACAACCCTCGACCACGCTGAACCCATATACCACTGGCTTGCCCGCAAACGTGCCCAAGAACTCCACACGGAACCTGCTCCATAAAACCTCCCCGTCTCCGAACTTAAAGGCCTCATGCTCTTCAAAGACTCTGCACCATCTCCCTTCAGAACGCCACCTTCGCAACAAACTGTTAGTCCATTCAAGCCCGGCAACGGAACGCATACAGCCTATGTCCAATATGACCTTGAAAGCCAGCTCCTTCATTGACCACATGACCTCGCTCAAAGCTGCAGCTACGGCCCCGAAAACCCTGTGAACTGTCTGCCCCCTTGCCCCCTTGTACTGGAACGGAGGTCGAGCACTCTCCGCACGAGTCTGAGCTGCTAAGGCCGGATTCAATCCAGAGCGGCACATCGTCAGGAGCAGATCCCACTCGTACTCGCCCGACTTGCCCTCCTCGATGGGCTCGAGCCGCCCGCCGCCAGTCTTGGCAGCCAGCACAGGAGTCGGATTGGAGCCGCCTTTGTTCACCAGCACAGGGTTGCTCTTGGTCGGGCACTCTCTCGACCAATGGCCGTACTGGCCGCATGCGTGGCAGGGGTTCGTCTTCATCTGCTCCGCCAAAGCTTTCTTGCGCTCCTCAGGATCTGGCTTCCGATAGTACTGCCTCAGCTTCTTCACCTCGGCAATCTTCTGCTTCGCACGGTGCTGTGTGCCATAGACTTCGTTCACCGCGGCCTCGAGCTCCGGGGGGTAGTCGTCCTCGTCCAGGGACTCCTCGCCAGGCTCCTCGTGGTAGCTCACGGTGTCGCTGTCCAGCTGCTCGGCGCCCAAGGCGGCGCGTCTCGCCACGCTGAAGAAGGCATTCCTCTCCATTTCGAGCCGCATTCGGCTCCGACGGGCCAATTGGATCCAATTCGCTGGCCAGCTCGATGAGCGCATTCGTCACCAGGTACTCGTCCGTCTCGGTCCCCGCCTTGGTTTTCACCATGGCGCGGTCGCGCCGCGTCAGGTGAGCGTGGTCCACGAGGTGGCCAATGTGGAAGGCTTCGCCCATCGCCATGCTACCATCCATGCCCACCAAGTGCGTCCTGTAGATGGACGCGCGGGTGACATAGGACTCCATGGACTCTCCCGGGGCCCTATTCAACTGCATCAGCCGGCGCCTGTGCTCATCCACGCGGTGCTTGTCCAGCTGCTTGATCAGGGGCGACTTCTCCAGTACCTTGAAGATCACGTCCTTGCCATCGGGACCATTCACGTCCCCATTGCAGAGGTGCTTCACCAGCTGAGCCGCTCGTTCTTTCAACTGCACCATCATCTTGGGCCCAACCAGTTCTGGCGGAAGTTGGCCTCCCTCGCCCCAATCCAAACTCAACACTTCGCTTCCATTCCAGGGGACGGGCTTTGAATACAGGAGGGTAAGTGCTGGACACCTTCCCGCCCTTCCTCTCGACAGTCTCGCCCACCATCTTCACCGGCGCCGGCTCGCCCTCGATGCGCGAAGTTGTCGAAGAAGCCCTCGAGCTCTGCTCCTCCACCTGGTCCGCCTGGTCCGCATACGAAGTCTCCCAAGTCTTCCACGAGCTGCCGCCGCCATCCTGGGACGCCGATGGTCCGTAGCCATTCCTCCAGCTCCAGTTCTCGTTGTCCTGTCGCCCTCGGCGACCATTCCAACGGTCCTTCTCGAGAAGACTTCCAGGACCAGTTCTCATTCCATGCTCCGGGGCCTCACTCGTCCCTTGCCAGCTGCCATCCTCCGCCCAACCGTCCCACGCAGTGTGGAAGCGTGGCTCGTCTCCATCTGCTCCTCGGGTTTTTTCCGAGGCCGATCCACTGCTGATGCCGCCCGTGGCCGCACTTCCAGGTCGCGACCATTGGCGACTTCGGGCCTGTCCATCTGACATTGCCGAGTCTCCCGAAACTGACTCTCCAATGTCCATCGTTTCCCCAAAGGGCGTCGTAGTACGAGCCAGCTTCCATCAGGCTTTTGACAGAGTGCACAAGCTCAAGCCACTGAACTTACCTAGTCAATGCACAGAATCGCGTAAGTCACGAAGTAGTCGGCTCGCCCGCCGGATGCCCCCCACAAAATCCTGAAACACCTTGTTCACAAAAAACACGGCTCGCCCGCCGCCACACTCGCCCTCCGAGATGCCCTGGATCGCCAAAAAACCGAGGCTCCGCTGCCACCGGAAAGTGGCAGGGCTCAAACACACAAAAGCGGGACGCGCAAGCCCTTTTGCACTGCACCCTGTCCCAAGCCTGCAATGGCTGCGGTGAGCGGTCGAGATGCTTGTGCACCTGGCAGACAGAGGGCTTTCTGGGACGTTTCCAGTCTTACAACAGCGGCTGAGTTGAGACCAACGGGCCGGTTCTGCGATGCCGTCTGATAACAGCCTCAGCTGGCAATGCAAAAGCACAGCTTGCAGGGCTCGAAAGTAAATCTCGGCTTGCAGCGCTGCTTTGATGCATCCGTACCTTCAGTCACTTACTGATCTGAAGTCAGAGCCGCCTTATTTGCTGATGGGCCTGTCGGTGGCGCCGCTTTGCCTGCAAGCAATGTCGGGTTAGGCCTCGCATCAGGGGCCCAGCGTCGCAGCATACAACCAATCTTAATTAGATGCAAGAAGCTCTTCATGGGCGTTGAGATGGCCGGCGGTCATAAGTGATGCGCCATCTTGCTGGCCCAAGCCACGAACAACGCATCTGAGCTGGGCACCTTTTCTACATGGGTGCATTTGGTGACTCTTTCACGCACCCGTCGGCCACTTCTGAAGCTTCAGGCAGGGCCTGGCCGCCAGCAAGCTGTCAGAGCATCCAAACTTGCAGAAAGGATTCCAAGACAACACCCTAAAGCTGGATCTGTGTAAGGATTGCATTTAAATTGCCTCTACCACCCTGCAGCAGATGATAACAGCCTATGACTGAGCGAACTGTGTCAGAACTGGTCATAATCATGCATCTGACACCCAAAATCCAGATGCATAAAATCTTCTTGCAAAGCCGGGGTCCACGCCTTCACGTCTGAGGTGGGTTCATGCCTGTTACGGGAACGCCCAATGTTGGAAAAGCTCACGTCGCCAATGATAAATGAGGGTCCGAATTGCGCCTGCCCCCCTCAATGCACTGCAACTTCTGCATCGGTTGGTTGCCTTCGGTAAATTCAAGGCACCCATGCACGTGTGCGCAAGCGTGGGACCCAGGCCATCGAGCGGTTTGACGCCATTGACTTTCACGATCTGGCGGCAATCACATGGTAGAAGCATGCAGGAATATGTCTGCTCAGTCCTACGCTGAGCACCTGCTCCCCGCCTTCAGGTCGCCCAAGTCTGCCATGGCTACCGTGGACAACTCACAGCCCAGCCCTTTACCCTGAAGTACCTGTGATGGAGCATACTTGTGCTGAGCCCTGTTGCCTGTGTGGAAGGCCCAGGTGCCCATTTTTGTCTTGGTGAGGCGAGGAATTTCAAGGCTGTCGCAAGAGCCCATGGATGCGGCCCCGAGCGTAGGTGCTGAAAGGGATGCCCAAGCCACTGAGAGCTACGAGGCATCGGTGCCCAGTACGCTGTACAACACAAATTGACCAGTGATCGTCCCTCTCCATTTCATCCCCAACTCTTGGATGAATCCTCTTGTACTATAGCAAGCATGGCACAATGTCGAGCAAGTCATATGTTGGGGGATCATGAAACTGTAGGTTGCCTTCTAACTTCTAAACAGTCATCGGGACCAAGCTTAACAGTCCTGAAGGAAACTGTCAGAGTGATTCTGCCTTGACCCAATCCACCAAAAAATCAATGCCCTGGCTCAACATGTGTTGCTAATCTTAAAGGGTCGCCCCCTTCAAGATCCTCGGGAGCAAAGGAATTTTCCTGCTTCATGATCCCTCTCCAAAAAGAACAGAATACAATCTGGCGAAACTCCTTCATCGGTGCTTCCCAACAAGCTTAGGAGGTTCTACAATCTGGGGAAACCATTATGGGCGTGAAGAGGTTTAAGAAGCAGTCCTTCTCAGGGATCTTGCATGCCATTTTTGCAAATGATTTCTTCGACGGGTCAGGTCAAACATGGAGCTGCTTGAAGCACCTGGGCTGGAGCAGCATCGAAACGCACTGCATGGGCGCTGTTCAAAATTCGGCCAGCCTTTTCGCAGGCGGCCCTCCTGCACCTGGCCTTTGGCTGGGCCGACTTGAAACCCAAGTCCGCTGAATAGTTTGAGTCAGAAAACGGTACCAAAATTGTAGCAGCGCATGACAACTGTTCCACCAGAAGTGGCACACTCCCCGAACGGTCTGCGCGATCCGACTGGTGCTGTGCTCAAGCTAGTCAGTCAGCTTGCGTGAGCCCTATCCGCATGCAACATTTCTCGAAGGATCGGGGCGGCTTCCAACAGCTCTGATTGCCAAGAGGTCCATGCCTCCCATCGCAACATGTGTCCCAGTCGATAGTCCTGGAAGCCCAGCATGCTGTCAGCCCTTCCCTACCGGATAGCGAAGACGACGGTGCCACCAAGGGTGTTGCCTTGGGCTGGCACTCGGCGATGCGCTGAGACAAATGCAGAGCACGTTTGTCAAGCTCCTGGACAGAATGTCAATCTGAAGATCACAGTCGAAACATCAAGAATCTGCATGCAGGTGAAGCATCTATTGGACTGTAGCCCGGCATACTGTGGTGGAAACGCTTCAGTGATAAGCCTGGTTCAACTCTTCTGGAGCTCATACTTCTGCTGATCTTCCTCTGCTCTGTTACCTTTGACGTCTGGAATGTGACTTCATCAGTGTACTGTACCAGAACGGGGGTCCTAAGCCTTCACGTTGGAGAACCGCCAGGTCTGAATCCAGAAGTTTGTAGTATGTGGCTTTGGGATCTTTGTGCATCCGCTCTTGGGGAAAGCCCATTTGCACAATTGATTGTGTGATCGACAACGCTCAGGTCTGCAGTAACCACCATTTCCATATTTGCAACAGAAGGACAAGTGACGAGGCAACTGATGACAGGAAGCACTGACTGCAGCTACAAGGGGAAGGGAGGGAGTTTGCGAACGCAGTCCTCCAGTGCAGGCAGTAAGGGGATGGCTATCCGCCCTGGACTGCCCATCACTACATCACCCCTCCTTAACTGCTGGTTGAGGGTCGAAGGTGACGCGAGATTGAGGGCACAAGTAGGAGTCTAGCATTTCTGAATGAAATCCAGAACGTTATCCGATTCCAAGGAAGACATGAGCTAAACGGGAGACATAATCTTCCAAAAGAGTCCAGCCGCAATGCATCCAACAGGCGCTGACTCATTGGGCGGGATCGATCAGAAAGCTGGTGAAGAAAATGCTTTGACAAGCCATCCACCCAGTCGCAGGTCTCAATGATGAGCTGGAATTGACCAAGCCTCATCTTTTCAAAGTTCTCGGCAACTGTATCCAGTGCTGCTTCGCCGTCAAGTTGAAAGCATCGATCCTCAGCACTTAGTAGTCGCTCTCTGAATTGTTCCCTCGGTTTGTTATGTTGATGGATGCAGTGAATGAATCCTTTTCAGCAGGCAAATTAGGAATGATTCCAATTCCAATTTTTACGCAATTTTGGTACCAACCTCTATATAAACCACCATTCAGGGTGAGGTCAGCTGGGGTGGCTTTAAATTGCCCAGCTTTTCAGCCGGAAGAACCCCAGCTTTTTAATTCCTCAACAGGACCTGCTGCAGCAAGTTCTGCCAATGCAGGCTGAGCGCGTTGTCCATCATGATCAGCCATCCTTGACCCTGCTCGAGGTCTGCATAGAAATGACTGTGGGTGCTCTTGCCACATCGGCAGAGATAGCTGAACACAGCGTAGTCGAAAAAGTTCGCGAAGCGCGTGGGCCCTTCCGACGAGAGGAACCATCCCTCCTGCGCTGCTTTTCACGCAAGGCTACACTAATGGGCATACAGGGGATCGTATGTCGTGTTATATCCGCTGATTTTCAATACTATTGACTATTGACCATCCCTCCTCAGTGTGATTGCGCAGGAGCGGCTTGACCCTGTCACTCCATGCCAAAGCAGCTCCATCAATTTCTATTTGTGGCAAGCTCCGCGACTGCCTGCAGACACAGCTCAAACTGGAGTCGGTTGTGTCTTTGCTCATCTTTGGAATAGATTTGACAGAATTTTGAAACAATGTGAGTCCAAAAAGCGGCATGGCTATGGGGGTGCGATGATGCTATGAAGCAATCCTGCTGCGTGTCTTGAGACATGAAAAGACCACACAGCTCCTAGAATAAGCGAAGCATCTGGCAAATTATGGGGCTTCCCTGATTTTCTTCATTGCTTAGGGAAATGAGGTCGTAGTTCTGCATGTCGGGATACAACGCTGAAGCCAGCAAATGCGAGATGATACAACGCAGCAAACAGACAGTTGCACAACACCACCACAAAGTCAGTCAGGCAAAGTAGAAACCCCAACCGCCACACTGTATGTCGTCACTGCTTAGGATTCTACATTATGTTAGTAAAGCCGTGCGCGCTCCCTGAAACACTCCTGTGAATTCCTGGTGTCTCTGCACTGACCTGCCTTGAAACGCATCCCAAGTTCATGGCTCCAAGGGCCCCTTGCGTGCGCTGCTTCACTTCAGTAAGACTCATGGTGCGACCCACAGCCGGCAGTGATGTCCACACCCCCAGGGCAACATCCAAGGCGTAAACCAGAATCTCGGGCCAGAAGCTTTCATCATTGAAGTCTTTGTTCCGGGAATGCATCGCCTTCCTTGGGAACATGTGTGCGAATTCTGCAGCGCCCTGACACATAAACCTTGCACCTGTTCACAGAGGCATGGCAGTTGCAAAATCGGGTCGTAGGAGCCCTACTGATTAAGCTGAAGCTGAAGGTTGTGTACTTTCCTCCCAACAGTGCGTGCTGCCCAGGGCTCCAGTAGACCTGCTCACCAGAGTCGAGTCGTAGCGTCATTGCCAGGCCACAAGCTGAGCCATACCATGGCTCACCACGCTTTGAGAGGCTCTCCTCAGCAAATCTTACCCCTCCAACACACCAAGCCTCTTTAAGGGAAAGCGTTTGAAACCGTGCATCCCAGAAAACCCCCTCCCTCCAGATCAAAGCAGAGGTTCCCACCGTGCGTGCAAGAAGGGCTTGGCATTCAGCGTGCTCTGAGACGTTGGAGTCGCTGGAGCTGTTAATGAAAGACGCCAGGCATCCAAACTGGCAGCTTGCAGGCCTGTAGCTTCCTCCCAAAGCTTTGAAGCTGGTGATGCTCTCCATCCGTTTGCCTTGCCGCGAGAGGCAGCTTGGAGCAGGTGGAGGTGGCTTGGGCAGGGTAAGCATGGCAAGCCCATCTCCGACTGCGACATGTCCTGCAATCTTCAAAGCAGTTCAGACAGATGGAAGCGCACACAGAAATTGGAACAAAAAACAACTGGCAACCTGACTCGTGCCCTCCACAAAGACAGGCTGAAGGAACAACAAATGCTTAAAAGTGTGCCTGATGCTTGTTTTGCCTGGCCTGAAGTACGAAGCACAAGATCGCAACAAGTGGCAAAAGGTGTAGCTTCCGCATTGCAGTCTGCGGCCTATGTCGCTTTGGTTGCTCCCGGTCCTGCTTCAACGCCCGTGGTGCCCCTTCACCGTTGACCCACTCCAGTAGGTTGTACTCGAAGTTATGTATCAGGCGAAGGCCCTTCGCCTTTGGGGAGGGATGGAGTAATCAACAAAAGGCTAATCTTGCCAAGATTCATCATTGCACCAACTTCCCAAGCGTTTATTAATCCCTCAACCCTGTTCCCTGCTGCCAACGCCTTCCAGGTCCCATAGTAGATGCGCCTGGGCACTGAATAGGAATCCCCACGACGCAAGCCAACACCTTCGATGTTGATAAGGCCACATGCGTCTACCAAGAAATCGCCTAACAAAAAAGGCAAAGAAGGAACGTGTGGCATAGCTTGGCTTTGGCACCGTTGAATGCAAGTGTGGAGTTTTGGATCTCAACTGCGGCATCGCCAAAGCCAATCTCCAGACCTTGCTCGCAACCTTCGATGTAAGCATTGATCACCAAGATTCTGCTGTGGAGTAGGAGTAGCTCCGGGTAGTCTTTCCGAGACCGTGCCAACCACAGTGGAGAGGACAATGCGATGCCCTCATGATGCCAGCGCCTGATGTCCTAAGTTTTGGCAACATGGCAACTTCATCCAGTCCAACGGCCTCGCACTAAGAAAATGTGATGTGTGGACATGTGCAGCAACCAAGAAGAGCTGTTACGGGGTCTGTTTCTGACCGGCAAGATCAGTGCCTCCATTCAATTTAGAAGAGGTTTGCCGATTGAAATCGAGGGCCGCGCAAGTAAAATCATTTCAGTCTGAGATCCACAGCCGCTTGTGGTCTTATTACCGCGGATTGTTGCCAGCAGCATCTGACAGCGAGAGATAGCAAAGGCATCTGCTTGGGCCGGACGCGTGGACCCCAGACCTCACCCCTTTTTCTTCGCTCGAAGCTCCTCCCCCGCACATGACACATGCTGCAACATCAGAAAAAGTTGCTGTGGTGCAGTGTGCGTGTGTGTGAGGCCACGCAGTGTTCCCAAAGCTGCAATGTTCACGGAAAATGGCTTCACAAAATCCGCACTTCTGCAGCCGAGATTCCACATCTCTAATCTCCACCAGACCGCCGCAAACATCAATGGCATCGTCACTCCCTCTTATGAAGACAGAGGACTCTATTAAGCTCACAGGCCAAGGGTTGGCAGTCAGGGCCACGGAGCCGTACAAGGTTCCAAAGCTTCTATCGGGCAAAGACGTCCACCACGGACCTTCCAAGATGTTGTCCGGGCGGAGATGGAGGTACAAGCCGTCATTGTCATCCTCCCCAAGCTCCCTTGCAGCACCAGGCAACTCCACAACATGCATAAACTTGAAGGTCACCAAACTGTCAAAGTGCTCCCCACCGGTATCTACACGTGAAATGAGCGAACCAGACATGAAGACTAAGGACTGACGGGATCCAGCGGCTTTGCCAAGGCAGTCGATAATCGCGGATGAAGCTACCGATAGAATTCCATCCTCTGCCCACACAACCGCTTCTGAGTTCGAGTGGCCATGCAAGTAATCTGGATTACCAGTAACACCGCCCTGAGATACGATAGTGTGCTGAAGAACAACTGTGCCACCCTTGCAGCGGATGGCACCCCAGCTTTCGGCATTCCCATCCACTGAAAACAGCACTGGATCGTCAGCACTACCAACGCTTCTCAGTGCGCCCTCCACATAAATCGAAACCTTCTCTCCAAGCAAGATTATCGTCCCAGGCACAACGTGAAGCGTCACCCCACTTGACACGTGCACATCAGCTGTTATTCGCAATACTCCAGGCCCCCACAAGGAAAACTCCTCTGTGATTGCCCCCTGGTGTTCAGCACTAGCCTCTGTCAAATTGATGCGAATCATCGTGGAACACACGGAAGGGCTGAGTAAAAAGAGGCGCGCCGCACCCCCTTGCCGCCCACTTATGCTACCCCAACGTCCTCTGAGATCGAGAGAACATGACCCACGACCCCTGTAGACAACGACGTCGCACTCTGCGGTGCTTCGTGGAAGTTGCAGAGCTAGCTTGACAAACCGTTCTCCTGTCGGCTCGGATCCAATTGCCCCTTGGGTCTTGTCTAAAGGCACATCCACCTGCACGGGTAGGAACTGCATTGTTTTGGCGATCTTCCGCGGCACACGGACCGAAGCTGCCAGGCAGTTAGAAGCAAAAGTTGTGGATGCAGCATGTGAGGGGAAAAGTCTCTTTGTGTAGTGGTGCTTGAAGTCTAGCAGGCTCTCACTGTAGGGGAAGAGACTTCGGAGCAGCTCGCGCAGGGAGTTGACTAGATGAGTGGCGGAGAGCCTTGGCAACGGGCCCAGAAGCCCTAAAAGCAGCTTTGCCAAACTCTTGTCGTGCAATGAAAACTGATTGTGGAGGGTCCGCTTGAAGCCTGTAAGTGTACTCAGTGCAGAGAGGCTCCAGCGTGCACGGCGCCTGGCTTTCCTGTAGCTGTCTTCAAAGAGCTGAAAGGAAACATTTTCGCTGCTCCACCGGACCGGGAGTGGCTGAGTTCCATCGAAGAGTGTGAGATAGAACTGACCAAGTGAAAACAAGTCCCTTTCAACAGCAATGCCATGGCACTGCAGATCCTCGTGGGTTGTTCTCCAGTGGTAGGTCGCATAAACGTCATGCAATTTCAGGACTGCCCTTGGTGGAGTACAATGAGGATGTGTTGCTTCTGTCACCGGACCCTCCAAGTCTCGCTCAAGATTTGGGCTGGAGGTGCCCTTTTCAGCCCGTACCCGGGCACCCATGTTTGGGAGAACAATGGCCATGTCAAAATCGATCAGCATCAACGCCCCGGTCTCGAAGTTGACCAAAATGTTCCGATCAATCAAGTCATTGTGCAGGACAGGTCCTATTGGTGAATGATGAAGGTAAGCAACTGCCTCTGCAATCTTGATCGCAAATACCAGGAAACGAATCTTAGCCTTCATGCTCGTCTGCATGTCCAGGCTGATGGCCCGTGACCACGGTTTGCATCCTACACACTGGCGCACGATGGTGGTTCCGGGAGAGCACTGGCAAAGCGGAGTTCCCAAAGAGGGATGGTCCAGGATGGATAGCAAAGAATACTTGTATGTCATGGCGCTAATTCTTGGTCCTGTGGTGATGCGTAGAAGCTGGGCTTTGCTCGATTCATCTCGTATCATTACCACATCTTTGCCTCGGGAAATCGCATCTTCAAGAGGCTCACCCGGCTGACTACAAAGGCGTTGGCATTCGTCCTCGGATGGCCGCCAGTTGAAATCTGTGCCGTCTTCCTTCTCCCACTGAAGCTCGCAGCAGAGAGCAGCTTTGAATTCCTGGGTGGCGAGGATTGGCCAATCAATATCGGTAGGCCACATTATGCCACTATGCACCATGAGGTTTTAAAGCCCATCCCTGCGCTTGTTCAGAAACAGGGGGATCAATAGTTTATCCATGGCACCGGATCAACTAGGATCAACCTAGCCGGGTTTTCGGGTCTGGCGGGGCATCTACAAAGCAACTCAAAATCATCTGCTACTCCTGGTCCCAGATTCTGGGTCCTCCTGTCCGTTTGCAGACCTAGCGAAGCAACCTTCATTAGGCCTGTGGAGCTCATCCGCTGAACAGCAATAATACAAGAAATTCTCTTCCGTTCCCCACGACTTTACTGCGTAGTTTCTGCAAGACTCTCCAAGGATTCGTTGGGCATTCGCCATGTATGCTGTGGAGAGCAGCGCAAAGGTCGCGCCGTACACGGCTGTCATTGCAGCAACCCGCCCCACATTGAAGGTTTTCGAACTTTTGGTCCGTAATTTCCATAAAGGGCTTGAGCTTGTAGGGTGGAAGTTAGGGTTCTTGGGGGCTTCTCTACACAGTTTCGCTGATCTTTCTCTATCTTGAGCCTCCAGCACAGGGAAACAAAGTATCAGAGGCCACCAGTCTTCTCATCACGCTCCTCTTTTTCTTTGCACTAGCAGCCTCTTAATCACGTGCAGAAGATCGTTGAAGCTTCTGCACTTTGCATTTTTGCAAGCTGCATCAGCAAAGACGGTAAGATATCCAGAGTGAAGAATTTCAAGCGGCCCAGAAGCCCCATGTTCATGCCTTCATCCTGGGTCGAACAGACGCGCGACAAACCATTGGAGAGCCAGAAAAAGCTGACGTTGCTGGCAGCATACTCTTGCAGTGCTTCCCTCTACGCGTTACGCGATCCACATCTTCTATACAGACCAGCCAGCTGATGTAAGTCAGAACTCTCGTCCCAGCGATAGTCGAATAGTCTTGATATTTGATGAATTGGGGGCCGTGTTGTTAATGTGTGGCTAGTTGGCAGATTCAATTCATGGGGCGGATTCGAGTAATCATTTTGGCTAGTTTCAGACATTTCAAGAAGCCCACAAAAAGGTCTAGACAATTCAGGGTTATTCGAGAATGGGAGTTCAGTCATTGGAGCTAGGTCGCAGATAACCAAAAGACCCAAGACAGGGATAAACTAAGAGTGGCATAGGTGGAAGTAGAAGCCCAGAAACCTGACGCAAAACATAAACACCCCCCGGTAGCTCAGCTAGCTTTCCTGAAAACTTGACCGCATCACCGGGGAAAACAAAAAGGTGACTCATTTTTGGGTGCGTGATTGCCAGGATAGGTGCTAGCCTCAGCGTTCTGAAAGCAGCATGCTGAGATATCCTGTCCTGTCCCAAGAACGGATGTAGCTCTGTGCAGCTCAGGGTCACAAACCACGGTCACAAAACGGTGAACAACACACCATGGCAGCAAGGGCGGCATGGATCGGGAGGCCTTTGATCCTTCAATCTCACACATGCGCAACCCTGGCTGCTGAATCATGCCGCTCAAAAGGTGCCATAACCATGTCACCATGTGGTTGAGACCCAAGCCAGGCACCACAAACACACATTGCACAAATACCTGGCCGGCTTTCATCCTTGGGACGCACGAATTCGAGCGAAGTTGACGCAAGCAGATCAGCCCACGCCTATGCGTCTTCGCATGCTCAGCGTGAGCGTGCTAAAGAAGAACCGTCAAGCACGGTGATAACCGTTGACAACCGTTAAGCCCAGCCTGCCTTAGGCAGACGAGCTCTCGGATCTGACAAACGGGAACTGAAGATACGAGAAATTCTTGAGATTTTTTCATTTAAGCACTTCCGGTTTCTGTGTCGTCCGATGGGCAAGCGGCGATGGCCGCTTTGCAGGTGAAGCTGCACCAGCAGCAAGTGCCGCAAGCAGCCCACATGAATACGAAAATGATAAGCCTCGAAATCGTGCAGAGAGACAGTCTCTACAGATTCCATTGCAGGAACTGCGAACCCTGGTAAGGCAGCAAAGTGACACAAGAGAAGAATCCTTGGTTCAGGTGCATATGTGAAGAAGGCAGATGCACAAAGGAAAGGAGGCCTGCTTATACAGATGGCTTTGTTTGCAGCTTGACGGCCTGCGGCGCGCCCAGGTCGAAAGTTGAGTCCGTCAGCTTTGAGGCAACAACGTAAGGGTCCTAAGAAGGCATGTTGATGAAAGTCGTCTTTCCTTCTGATTTCCCGCGCATGTTCAGTACTATTCAGCACACACCTGGTAGTGGCGAAATGTGAGCTCCGCCTCATCCAGGATTTCCAGCATTGCGGTTTCTGACCTCAACTGGCAGCTCAAGATCATCACAAAATGTCATTACCTGGGCCAGTGAAGCAGCTAAGACACATCTCCAAAGAAGTACCGGTCATGTGCTGGATGACCTTCTGGCCTAGCGTGCAGTAGTATCAAACGACCGTCAAACCTGTCATGACCTGTACTGGAGCCTGCGACATGTTTGTATGCGCCATCTTTGCCACTAGCTGGTTCCCTGCTAGCTGAGAATCCTGCCAGAATCATCCACACCGTGCGTGCACCGAAAAAGGTAGTCCGACGTCACAGGATTCACAGACTCGTGGGGTTGGGGCCACTGCCTTAAGTACCGGAGACGCAAATGGAAGCCTGCGGCCTAGGACTTAGACTTAGTCTTTACTCCCTTAAGAGAATAAGTGCAATTCGAAGACATATCGACGAAGGCAAAAGTCTTCTGGGCCTCCATGCTCGGCTTCATCACCCAGCACGGCCTTTGTGACGGGACTTTGAACTTTATTGCCTTCAGGTCGAGGATGGTTTAGGACTTTGGGCTTAGGTCTTCTAGAGCCCCTGTTTAGGCTCAAGGTTTGGGTTACAAGGGTCGTCCACGGACTTGTTTGTTTCTGTTCACGCTTCCAAGGGGCGCCATCTCATGGGATGCACTGGCAAGGCGATGCCGTGCTGTGCATTGCTTGACATCCTCATCGAGGGGCTGCCCTGCAACAAGGCCACTGGGCGCGGAGTCACAACCTGCATATGCAAAGCATTGCAAGGCCTTCTAGGTCGTCGCAGTTCCGCTGTCGATTTCGCCGTGGGCAGTCGAAATCCTCAAGACAAGCAGCCCTCTTCAGACTACCGAAAGCAAACTGTAGCTTTGGGTAGCTGAATGCAGCAAAGGCTCTGCCCCCATGCCACACTTGCTGCTGACATAATCAGAATCAATCAGGTCCCAAACACGTTCCGTGAGGACCTGCACTACGGCCTCGTTGCAACATGTTGTAAAAAAGTTCAATCGGGGCAGGGATCGCCTTGCTTACGTCTCTGCGATCGATAGGGCCTGTCCAATCGTTCGGCTGAAGGCTCTACCGGGCTCTTTGCCGACAAGCTCGATCGTATACAAAGAGTCAAACACCTTACGCATGTCGGCCAGCGACAACGCGCAAAGAAAGTCCTCAACGGAACCTAGATGGCCAAGAGCTTGCTTGCCGTGCTGCCGAGCAGCAGGCGAAGGAATCAATTCCGACACGTTGCAGCGAACGGTCTTGACCTCGTAGTCGCTGCATTTGCCATCGGATCTTTGTGACCTGCTTCCAACAGCCCATACCGGAGCTTGCGGAAGTAGGCTGCGGAAGTTAAGAAGGTGCATAATTCCCACACAATGAGGTTCACTTATCCAAGGCACACGTTCTTGTCGTAGGCGTTCGGCACAGATGAGATGCTGCACGGAACTTCGTGGCCCGCTGCCCCCAGGCGGGCAGAAAACACGAAGTTGTCTAATTCCTAAGTTGGATTTCAGGAACACTTAGAATCAGCGCCGACGTTCCTGCTTGCATGAATAGACTCGTTGGCGGTGCCAGTTTGCCAAGACTGGACCGCCGCGCAGTAGGTGTCAATTCGTTCGATACGACCTTCACCTGGGCCCATTGTCGTGATGCGATTGGGATGCTGCTTCCAAAAGAGTGCCTGGCCTGTTTCTCTCAAGTGCCTATTCAAGCTCTCAGTCGCCATGTAGTACAGGTAGCCGGTCACGCCTCCAGTGATTAAGCCTTGGATGCGCCACCCACAGGGCGGGTCTGTTATCATGCCAAGCTTCGCATGACACATCCGAGTAGCAAAGTAAAGTGTAGCCTCCCGCAATGCAGCACTTCTTTTGCATCAGGCCACCAACCCACCCGGTCCTGCTCCTCCTTCGGGACTACAAACCCACCTCTACAAACCCATACATTGGTCGAGCCGCTGGCTGCAGTGATGCAACATGGTATAATAACAGGCTCCGGCTACCGAGGAAATCCCATAGGAGCGAGAGAGCGCGAGAAAGAGAAAGAGTGAGAACGAGTAAAGTCAAAGGAGAGAGCCAGGTTGAAGTAAGACTGAGAGCCAGTGCGTATGTGAAAATAAGTGAAAATGGGACACCACCTCTCATAGCTCGCGGACTTTTCAGCGGATCTTGCGGGGTTCCCTTTAGGGTTCCCTGTAGCTAAATGTAGAGGGGTTGGCGGCAGCGCACCGCAACCATGCCAGCTCTGCGTCATGCTACGACAGCTGTGTGGTGCGATTGCCCGGCCAATGGCCAATGAGGCTCTTTATACTTGTGCGGAAATTGCCATTGGGCCAAGCCTTTTTTGGGCGAACACTTGTCGCTACAGAGGTAGCCAGCCAGAGCAGTGCCGGGGGATCGGGTTGGCATGAGAGATCCAGGCAGTGGCGGCATTGCGCCGGCGACCGCCTCTCCGCGTGCCCATTGTTGCTTACTTGGGTTTCAGAAGCTGAGTTTGTTGTGCTCTCCAAAACCCTGCAGGCTGCACTTTGGTCAGGGTGTCACCCACCTCTTCAGCAAACAATGACGTCATTGCGAGGCTCTTCTGTTCTGCCTTGAGATGTCTTGGCTGGGGTTGCGTATGCAAGAGTTGGCATGTCAGAAGGCCTTTTGTGAGGGAGCTCATGACTGGAGGCGATTGACGAGCGATGCCGGATCAGGCATCGACCAGAATACATTGAAGGCGCGACAACGCGCTTTACGAGCATTTATTGGGCGTGCCGACTTCAAACTTTACTGCGAAGAGGCTTAAAGGCCCGCGAGCTTTGCAACATGGAAGACCTCTATAAGACTCTAATGACTCTGATGGCGTATCGGTATCATCTATGTATTGGAGCAACAGGTTTCCGGCGAAGAAGGGGCAAAGAAACCAATATGGAAACCTTAGGCCGCCCAGCAAAATCTCAAGAACAGTTACGGGCGCAATTGTGCGTCAAAGCCAACGAAACAGAAAAAGCCCTCGGAAACACATGGGATGAACTCCGAGAGCACTGTTCCGAGCGGTTCCAGGCCGTTCCTGAGAATGTGCAACATCAGCACCAAAGCGTTGACAGCCAGTCATGTTGCGCAAGGGGCTGTGCTGCGGGGGATACAACTTAAGTGTTGACTGCCTCTGGAGTGAACAATACTCGGCTTCTGCCGGGAAAGGGCGGAGCGGGGTGTGCAGTCCGTAGATGCATTATCGCAAAAGGAGGCGACTGCGCGTCACCCTGGCACCTGAATTTCAACAATCGGGCTCTCATCAAACATGAGCTCGGGTGCGTATCAGAAAATGCGAGAAGACCCGCAAGCCGCGAAACTGTGAGCTGTCTGTCTGATTGAAGCGCTTGACGATCATCATTACCGTTAGAGCCTTGACTTACTTTGGTACTAGGACTTGATAGGCATGACTCAATTGATCTCCTTAGGGCGTGCACGGCAGAGAGCGCTCGCTCTCCAGAAGGCAGAGCTCGCAGCAAGGTAAAAAAAAAGCTTGTGCGCGCATCCACTGCTCTTGTTGTCACATTAAATTGCAGTAAGACTCTCAACAACCTCGAGATGCCTTGACCTGCCGGGCACCTGCCTTTGCTGCCTGTTTGCCTACCAGGAGGCTTGCGAACAGTACGGGCTTCCATTTGCTGTCAAAGTCTTCAGTTGCACTACCTTGAACGCCCTGGAAGGCAACTGCAGCATGGAAGGGTTCGTTTTACACCTGGGCACAGATGTCCAGGCTGACCGTGGCGAAAGGACGTGGGCGACCTGGCGTGGTCTCTGACACCATGCCAGTAAACGCCCCCCAGGGTTACAATCCTCAAGGCTTGAAAGCAGAATGTGACAACTTGTAGCACGCGCACAAAGCATCAGTCTCCCTTCTGCTTGCTCCTGCACAGCA